CTCTCTCTCTCTCTCTCTCTCTCTCTCTCTCACTCACTTTCTCGCTCACTTACTCAATTCCACTAAGTCACTCTTATTCTCTCTCACTCACTTTCTCGCTCACTTACTCAATTCCACGATCTCACTCACTCACTCTTATCCTCTCTCACTCACTCTCTCTCTCTCTCACACACTCACTCAATCGCTCACTAGCTCCTTCACAGACTCACATAACATACCATTGCACAAAACGATGACCTATTAGATTTATTATCTGTATAAAAATAAAAGTAACTATTGAACTGAATCACATATTCATGTGATAAATCCTTATTATTCCACTACCTTCAAAGTTTGCCTTCACACTTCACACCTTAAGTGGACATTTTACTTTGTTTATTTTATTTTCACAGTGTGAGTGCAAACTAAAAACAAAAAAATCAGATTTCGCAGAAGCGCATTGTCGCGGATTGCAGATTGTGGTTTCTGTGAATTCCCAATGTTTCTCTGTTCACAAAACAAAGACTTCTGAGGATCTTATAGAAAAAGACTTCAATGCCATCGGGAAGTGATTATTGGAAAGGAAAATAGTCGTGTCATTTTAGTGCAAATTGCGTTAATTCGCCCGGAAACCGGTTTGGTAAACTGGAAGGCCCAATGAATTGGTTTCTTGCGATTGGAAGGACGAAAAAAACCCAGCGGTGGTGTCGCGGCGTCGTTCGAGGCCGTGGTGGGGATCGATGTGGAAGACTTCTTCACCACTTCCCTCCGGCCGCCAGTCGACAGTGGTGGTGCAGCCTCGGATTGGAGAACATCGTTGGGTAAACATAATTCATATATGCTTCCGTTAAAAGAGCCTTCTTTTTATAAAATCGTTATTTTGTTCCACAATAAAAAGATTTGAACTTGAGTAAATTGTCATTAAAATTTTTTTTTTAACAACACACGATTCTTTCTAAGCGTCATTTGGATAAACAGTTTAAAATATACAATTTATTATGATAGTCATGTTATCCTGAGGATCGCTTCCTCCGTAAAATTTGGAAAGGAAAACAAATAACGTCAAAGTCGGTAGTGCATGATCTAATTCCAATACGTTGTGACAATCTTTGGACCAAACATAAAACTAAATTTGCCAAAATACACAGGAATTAAAAATAATTATTTATCATTTTGTTAAATCGTCGTCCGATAACAAGAATTGTCTTCATTTCATATTAAATTAAAAAGTTTGTATTGCTATAACTAAGCCTTGAAACCTAGTTTTTTTTACACGAATAAGCTTCAAAATACTGTACAATTAAAAAAATCAAAAATGCAAAATCAAAACCTTTATTAAATAAAATAGATTAAATGACAATCTTCAAAATTAGAACTTTTTTTTAACAAGATCGTATAATATATCCTAGATAGTGCGTGAGAAAGAGAGAGAGAGAGAGAGAGAGAGAGAGAGAGAGAGAGAGAGAGAGAGAGAGAGAGAGAGAGAGAGAGAAAGAGTGAGAGAGAGAAAGTGAGGGGGGAGAGAACTAATACCAGCTTAGACTATAAGAATTTTCAAGAAATCTTTTGTTTAGTAAATCCCATCCCTACTATAAAATGAAATGTTAGATCAGACTATATTTTCACGTTAAGTGAATGAGTGGGTGAGTGGGATAAATGAATGAGTGAGAGGGAGTCTGAGGAGGAGACCAAGACATCTTAGACTATACAAATTTTCGAGAATTTCTTTTGTTCAGTGAATCCCATCCCTACTAAAAAATGAAATGTTAGATCAGACCTTATTTTTACATTGAGTGAATGAATGAGAGAGAGAGCAAGAGAAAAGAAAGTGAATGAATGAGTGAGAGGGAATCATACGAAAGAAAAAAACCTGCTTAGACTATACGAATTTTCGTGAATTCTTTTATTCAGAGAATCCCATCACTACTAAAAAATGAAATGTTAGATCATACTATATTTTTACATTGAGTGAATGAGTGAGTGGGATTTTGGAATTGAGAGAGTGACTGAATGAGAGAGTGAAAGAGAGAGAGAGAAAGAGAGAGAAAGAGAGAGAGAGAGAAGAAATAGAGTGATTGAGAGATCAGACTATATTTTTACATTGGGTGAATAAGTGAGTGGGATTTTGGAGTGAATGAGTGAGAGTGAGTGAGAGATAGGGAGAGAGAGAGCAAGCGAGAGAGTGAATCGAATGAATGAATGAGTGAGTGGGATTTTGGAATTGAGTGAGTGAATGAGTGAGAGGGGGAGAGAGAGAGAGTGTGCGAATGGAATGAATGAATGAGTGAGAAGGAATCATACGAAATGTCAATACAGCTAGACTATACAAATTTTTGAGAATTTCTTTGGTTCAGTGAATCCCATCACTGCTAGAAAACGAAATGTTAGATGTTAGAGCGGACTATATTTTTACATTGAGTGAATAAGTGAGTGGGATTTTGGAATTGAGTGGGTGAATGAGTGAGAGTGAGTGAGGGAGAGGGAGAGAGAGAGAGAGTGAGAGAGTGAATGGAATGAATGAGTGAGAGGGAGTCATACGAATTTTCATACAAATCTGTCATGCACATTTTCGAGAATTTCTTGTGTTCAGTGAATCCCATCACTGCTAGAAAACGAAATGTAAGATATTAGAGAAGATTATATTTTTTCATTGAGTGAATAAGTGAGTGGGATTTTGGAATTGAGTGAGTGAATGAGTGAGGGAGAGTGAACCAGTTATGTAATACTTCTAACATTTTTCACGTCACATCTTCGTTCACCTCATGATTATGGGTTCTCGGTAATGAATTACAAATATGCTGTCTTCGTAGGGGACCCCGGCTGATTTATGATCAACGATCAGCATTCAAGGGTACCTGAGCAATTTATTTTTCCCTGGTGTCTGGAACATAATCGTGCGACTGTTAGGCTATTTTTCAGTAAAAGATTTTTCCGTACTGTTGATTTTTCTGATCGTTTTTTGAGTCGAAATATTAGAGAAAAAGATGTTTTCAGATATTAATGTTTTTCTTTTCTTGTAATCAGTTTTTGTTTTTGTTTTTTATAAACAACAGATAACGTGTATTATCTGTTGTATAAAAATCGAAACTCTTCAATTTTTCCATTTTAATTTGAAGATCGTTGATACTTCTATGTTGACAGTGGATATTTTATTGTTGACTAGGTACATTTTTCAACAAAATTTTTCGAAAAATTTTACTACAAAATGTTTACAACGAACAAATTTTTTTGTAAACCTCCAGTAACGTAAATTTTCAGTTTTCTGAAGAAAGGACTTTAATTTGAAAATGGCTGGTACTTCCGGGTTGTAGGTGCGTCTGGAGTATCGGAATTGGAGGGTAGAATGGCAAAGTCGTCAGCGTATGTTAGGATAGCGTTGGGATTGGAAGGGATATCAGCAGTACAATATATACAGTAGCGGGCTGAGAACGCTACCCTGAAGGACTCCCAAGTCTGTACAAAGGGTCGGATCCTCACTCTCTACAGTACCTCTTGCCAGAGGTAAGATTTAAGGATGAGAGTGTGTAGAAGGTAGGATGCACTTAAGATTCCATAGCAAACCCATGTGCCAGATACGATCAATAGAGTTGATGACGGTGATGGTCACTGAGGCAGTTGATTGGAGGTATGATTGGCGGTACCTAACTGAAGATGGCGCAATACCGAAAATGGTTTGAATAATTCAACAAGCCGACTATTGAAAACAGACACAATAAGTGACTCTATGTCGGTTCAGCGTTGTTTCTTTTTGTTTTGCAGATTTTTCTGTCTGCGTTAACATTCTTTATTTTAAGTAAACGCTTGCTGATAATTATTGATTTGGTTGTCTTCAGATGTCAAATTTGAAAGAACGCTCCACCAATTTTATTCGCTTCTTTTCCAAATTTAGCCTCGACCTTCATGCCGAGTTAAAAAATGTACGTTTTCTGTGGTACTCGGCTGGCTGGAAATTTATCCGGGATTGAAAAGAAAGGGAATGAACCATGAATATAAGGCACCTTGAAATGTGACCGGCCAGACGAGTGGTCCATGAAATATCTGACCCATATTTAGTGGCTGCGTCACACCTGGCTGATTACCATCGTGGCTCGTTTTTACATCAATAGAACGAAATAGAATTGCGTCGCTTCCACGTTTCGAAGGATTGGCACATTTTTCACAACGGGCACGGTGTAAATTTACACATGGAAAATTTGAGAGAGGATTACTCAATAATTTCGCTTTCCAGAAACAAACTGTGGAAAAATACAATAGACCACAGGCCTTGTTGAAATTTACTTCAATCTTCAAAAATAGGGCAAATTCCAGTTTGTCATTAAACTTTTAGCCTCTTTAAAAGATAATGCAATACATTACTTTTTTTCTGGAGTTTTGTAAATTTAATTAAGCAAAAAACAAAGTGGAGGAGGATTATTGTATCGGTGACAATTTCAAGGGCAACACTGGGATTTCCCACCATTTTGTAAAGATCAATAAATAAAAATATGGTGTCCGTTCGGTAACTTCAAAACGTGTAGTTTTTTGACCAGCCGTCTTCTATTTTCTCTATATACATCATGCCCTTGCTCCAACTTTAAACTCAGTTTAGCACTAAACCGAGTTCAATGTAAAAATTGCAATAATTGATTGATCCAACTTAGAACGGACGTAGTGCGTGAGGTAAACCTAGTTCAGGGTTAAGCGACGTCCATATGATGGTATGTTGTTAAAGATTGAAATTTTGATAATCAAAAGTTGAAATCGAATTGAATCAGTTGTTGATCTCTCTTTTCAATAAAAATTGATCAACTTTTGACATGCAAATTATTGAATGTTCTTTCTTATACATAGAAATAAAATATGGATTCCGGTCTGTAATTTCGACACGTGCAGTTTTTCGACGAGTTTCCTTCCTCCCCTCCCCCCACTGACATTTACATCTTGCCCGTTGCACTAGCTTGATTTAAACTAAGTTTAATAGTGAACCAAGCTCAATTCCAGAATTGCAGTTTTTCATCTCATCCTGAAAATGATGAACGTGGTTCAATTTTGAACGGCCTTCGAGCGTGGGTTAAACCTAGTTCAGAGTTAAACGAAGTCAATTTCATAATATAACATGTATGTTGTTGAAGGTTGAATTTTTGATCATCAAAAGTTGAATTCGAATTGAATCAATTGTTGATCTCTCTTTTCAATAAAAATTGATCAACTTTTGACAGGCAAATTATTGAATGTTCTTTTTTATGCATAGTTCTAACAATCTTTTGTTTTTTAATCAGCAAAAGGTCCGGTAATTTCTATATCATTACGATGTATGTAACTCAAATCTTTTATTATTATTATTCTTTTTAATAAATGAAATTAAACGAGAGGTCCTAGTGTATGTTAATTTTCTATAAAAGCCGATATGACTTCAGTTATTGAGCATAAAGGAGAAAGTGACCTCGTAGTCGCAATCAAACGGCATTCTACACAAATCACTCCGATTCCACCAGTGCTAAATGCAAATGTATTAATTAAACAATTAAAAAGTTTTCAAATAGTCATATTTAACGGATGTTCATCCTTAGGTTTTATGTATCCAATAGAACAATTCGTTTTGCTCTAATGGACTCTTGACAACAGTTTAAATAGCTGTAACGGCAGTTTTCCGGTTTGATGCTATAATAAGAATACGGACAAACGATTGCTCTATTTATTGTAACGTCCGATGCCCCTTTTAGCCCATTTTCTCATAGCTGGTCTGGCTCATTGTAAAATGTATATAGGATCGCAAAATTTGAAAAGAAAGAAAAGCAATACAGTTCTCTCCCCAATCTGAACTGCGCAAAAATTCAAGAAG